CTCCAAGAAAAACAATGAAGGAATTGGATTCAAAGTGATGTAGAATCCTAAACATTGACATTCTACACGATAGTGGAAACTATGTATCATGCTTGTAGCAGCGGGGTAGTTGCACGAACTTTCAGAGCAGGATTAAATCCTGCTTCACTTAGGCAATCTCGAAAAAGACACTGTCATATGTAACTCTCACTCAACTCAAAAACGTTCTTCTTACCCTGAACTCGTTCACATATGTATATTTTCCAGTATCTTAATCGATATTGAAACAATGAAATTTGTTTTGTAATTGATTCTTCGCTTCCATCGTTGATAACAGTATTTAATATATCGGCAATCTCTTTATTGGGAGTTTTATTATGTTGTAGAAAATGCTTCATAAATAAACTACTTGTCTCTTCAGGTGTATCATCTGCTAATGTACCAGCACCACAAGCAAATGTCATCAGCGAGCTTGTTTCACGCACTGCTACCAGGCAAACGGATTTAGAATCGTTTGCATTCAAAATAAGTTTATTCAAGCCATCATTCCTTGAGAAGGATTCTCTACAACAGTCTAAGAGGAATATTATTCTGTGTGGTTTCCGATCATTCAATGTATTAAGAATATCTTGTACATTGATAGTATTCTCCTTTAAAATATCAGAGTTCTTTCTCGAATCTATTGTATCCATATCAGGGAAATCTTTTGGCATCAAATAATTTTGACCCTAAAAGTAACATGAGTGTTTGCTTAATGAGAACTGTAGATGAATACATGCCTCCCATGGTATTCCATGCCCAGCAAAATAAAACAGAACTATATCATCAGGTTGTATTGAATCTTCAAATTCGACAAGTGCATGTTTCATTTGAGCACATGTTATATCCAACTGCAGTTCATTAGCTATAAAACCAATATGTTTCAAGAAAGATGACAATTCTGTTGCCTGTTTTTGTGGACTTTTTAATTTTGAAATATGATCATAACTTCCTATACCAATGGCTAGAGCTAACCTACGTTGTACTCCTGATTGTGCTTTTTCTGCCACCATTACCAATAACTTCAAACTAAAATAGACTAATAAAAAAGTTGTTTTTTTTTCAATAATCTATTTGTTGCGTTTGTATCATGGCAACATTTTATAGTTCTCTTCTTTCTTCGTTCTATTTACATACCTTTCTTTTTTTTCGTCTTTTTCTCACCTATGAAATGAGAAGAATACGTAGTACCTTTTATTGCTTTTTTTACTTTTTTCTTGCTTCTATTATTAGTGACATGAGAGTACAGATATTTAAACTACTCATTTCTGTTTCATTATGAAAATACAGCGTTATACATTTGTTCATTCATTTCTAATGATAATAAACAGACTACAATGGTAAGAATAGAGTAATTAGGTTGACCTAACTTAGAAAAATCGAGACACACAATAACGTACATAAAACAAATATATAGCATAATCTATGGTCAGTCACTAGAACACCATTAATAGAAGAGGGTGTACATGTGACTCTGGTATGTGTTGGTGTAGATGTGCAAATGCATGTGAAGCGGATGGATGAGAGTGTGGAATGATGGAACGAATACCTGCATCAGCTATTTATCTATAGGCTGCTCCGATGAATGAATTGATTTTTTTATTCAATTGGTTGATTTTTATGAGAACGTGAATCAACTAATGGGTCATGTTTTGCGAGTACTGTGCACACTATTGTGTTCGAGCTGACAGTCTAGCTAAAGCAGTGCAGTATGATCCTGATTAAGGACATAACATAACCTGTTGATTTACTCGCTTCGATAATAATTTAAATCGAGTATCAGAAGACTATGTTTTACTTTTGTCTTAGCCCTGGCCATGAATTCTTCTATAGCGATTTTTCAATGTGCTGATGATACGGTCAATTTAAGAAATTCTTGTAAAGGTAGGAAAAAACAAAATATTCACAGTAAGCAACTTCTTTTTTACCCTAAATGTTCTAGAGGCAATAAGCGCAAATACATTCTATGAATGTTGCTCGTGCCCATCTACGCTCAGTGCCATTTTTCTGGGATTAGTCTGATTCTATAACACTTTACTAAAGGGTAGTCGATGAAAACAAGAACTTTAAGATGTAACAGCATTGACACTAGCGCCATTTCAAGACTGTCATCACTCTTTTTTGAAAACACATATAAGTGTGAGCTCAGAAGCTCTTTAGTAATACTTCAAATACAAAAAGCTAAGCATGCACTAGAGTATTAAGAAAGTCATGCCGATGAAAGGTGGAAAAGCATACTGGTATGGTACTTAATGTAAACGCACGTATCCACACCATGGTCACATCAACACTTGCACCCATCCCATTTTCGAGATCCAATACGTCTACTCAAAGTGAAATAAAAAAATATCGAAAATCGATCAGTAGAAAAGAGGTCCTCTGATATGCCTTTTGCAACCTTTGTTCAAAGTGATTCTTCTGCTATATGGGGAGGGGACCTTCCACTATATAGATGTCTTCCAGTAATGTCGATGAGTTCATAATTGGTGATTGGAGTGATATGTTGACAGGTTCTAGAGTCAAACAGCAACACACGAGAGTCGCAAAATTGAAGTCATCGTTTTTACTATCTTCTCAAAAGCAATATTTTTATTCAAAGATAACGTCTTTCCTACTAATCAGTTGTAAGTAGACGATGCAAAAAAAACTGTAGATTGTGACTATGATCGTTCACCGAACGCACGAATAACAAACATTATTTTCTCCCCATGCTTCATCACGATGTTTCTGTGTGCACATTACTTTAGTCTGCCGTACAAAAAACAATACGCAAGAAACGAACATTAAACTTATTTTAAAGGGATGAATTCTGCGACGGTGACCATGAATAAAGATTGGTTTCTTACGAACATAAACATGCTGACAACAGTGAAGCAACTTCTGTAACAACGAACCACATTTACAACACTCAGAAAAAAAGGCTTTATTTTTCTTTGAATCACTTACTCACTTACTCACTTACTTTTACATTTAATAGAGTAAGGGTGTGTGGCTTGTACTAGACTCATTCAAACCTACTCACACCTACCCACCATCATCCACACTCGAACGATCGGAATCTGGATATTTTTTTCATATTAGCATAGACTGAGTCAAAGTTATTGAATGATAGAGAAAAAGCGGATGGATTGGAGGAAGACTTAGCAAAAATTTAAAGTGCTTTTTTTTACAAATTGCGAATGCTCGTGGATAATTGTCTTGGCTACGATATATCATGCCTATAATGTTAACATCCGATGCTATTTTTGTATGACCATCTGGAAGAGTTTTCTTGTAGATTTTGAGTGTGGGTGTGGGTATGGGTGTGGGTGTGGGGTGTGGGGTGTGGGGTATGGGGTGTGGGGTATGAGTGTGGGTTTGGGGTGTGGGGGGTGGGTGTGGGCAATCCCAACGAGATAAGACCCACACCCACACCCACACACCCACACCCACACCCACACCCACACCCACACACCCACACCCACACCCACACCCACACCCACACCCACACCCACCCTTATTTTCAAGAGACATACGATACGCATTTTCTGAATACTTTTTTTATTTATTATTATTTGGATTTCGATTTTTTAACGCTTATTTTTCATTCCAAATACTGTTTTAATAGTTATTCAAGAAGAATCATAAATAGGAATATCGCCAACTCCCAATTGACTTCTCAATATTTCTTTTTTTTCTGTGGAACGTATATGAGATTGTTGCACATTCTAGGGATAAATATCATTATTTTCTTATTATCAAGAGACTGGTATTGTGTAGGTGAAATTCTTTGTTTTTTTTTTAATAATTTCATTTTATGATATTCGGATACATAAATAGAGATAAAATTTCTTACTAAAGGAGAGGATACATATATAACATGATTGCACGTTAATACCAATGTTTGTTTCACTGATAAGACATGTGTATATTGAAGCGTGTCTTCACTTATACTTTTTTGTAATATATCTCTATTAAAATATCGAAATCATTCTCTCTTGCTTCTATACTATACATTCAATATTTCTATTATTTAATATCATTGATCTCACTAACGAATAAAAATGATTAAAAACAACTGTTTAGTCAATCAACAATCGGTAATTATTTTTCTACATTTTTTTTGCATAAGTAATATTGTCTTGACTTATTTTTGAAATTTATTTAACATAAGATAATTATATTGCTTTCTTGAGATTTTTAATAGTTTCACTATATAATGAATTGTACAGTTTTATTCTATCGGTTATAGTCATATTCGATTGACATTAATGAGGACTAGTAGTCATATTTCGACTCACTCTTCAATTTAATATTTTATTGTGATAAAATTATATTTGAACACTTGATGAGTCCCGTTTACTTAGTTTTAAATTGTATCATTATCAGTGTAATAATTGTAGTATTCATTTAAGAATAACCATTGTTCAATAAAATATTTATTTTATTTTGCTTGTAACAAAATTCTTGATTTCGATAGTTACTTCCAGACAGTAATTCTGTTATTTATTCATCTATTATTACTTTTTCTGTTGTTCTTTGAAGAGTATAAAATGTTATTAATAAAACTATAGATGACAATTTGCTCTTGTTTGCTTTTTTTTATAATACAATTTTATTTTTGTTTCTTTGCTTCTCTTTATTCTAAATGATGAAAACTCATTCGCGTACTCGTGAAGAACGACTACTCATTCCATTTGTTCTCTCATCGAATAATAAAGATATCAAAGAGAGAAATCATCTATTAATCTGAGTTGACGGAAGGAGAAAGTCTTGATATATGGCCTTAAATACTTTAGCACTTTTCAGTATATTTGAGTAAGTGGTTCTTATGTTTATCAACTTGTAGTATGATTAGATAGAACGACCATTGTAGTATTCATTTTTTACTCGTTTTCGAAAATCACTCAACGGCAATTTATTTTCTTTGTGTTGCTTTGTATGTTTTAGATAAATAACAAACTAGGATGATTTCCTATTTTTCATTGTTTATATTATTAACAATGTGTTGGTGGTACACAGTTTCTTTTATCATTAACACACCAAATAAATCATTACCACTTATACGATCTAGTCAACAAGATTTGATCAAAACTTATGGAATGATTTTCAACAAAACAGAATCGATTGATCATATAGAAGGCAAATCAAATTATAAAAACCAAATACGTAAAAAACGTACAGCAAAAGAACTACGTGAAAAATATACAAAAGATGAAGAAATAGATGTAAATGCGATCCTAGCAATAATCAATAATCATCAAACAAAGATTGACGACCACCGAATAATGATCAATAACATTATCAATGGTTCTCATTATTCAAAAACAGTTCAACAAGCTTTTTCAAATCACTATTCGAATACAGGTCCAAAATGGAGTAGTTGGCGAGATATCACTATTTTATCAGTGTCACTCTTCGTGATCGACTTGAACGTCTATGTTTGTCTTGTTTATGTCAAGCTAAAGCCGTTAGATTGTTTAATCTCTGCAATTGCTAAACGTCATCATGCAAAACAGGCAAAAAAACAACAAATCAAACGCTCATTGCCTCCACAACCAATACCATTCAATATTGGAAATATTTCGTATCCTCAACTTGCACCAAATGAAAACGCCAACTCAAAACATCTTCACAAACCTCTCGAAGAACATTATGCAGTATTTCATTGAAATACGTATATAAATAACTCATCTAGCATGAAAATGAACTCATCGCACATTAAACCTTTCTACATTACTTTCTCTGTTTTCAGCTTTTTCTTCTCTTCCCAAATTTACAATTTTATATGTATCTCCTGCTACTTCAATAGCTTATACCAATTTTAAAACAATAAAATTACTTCATAGTGACACTCAAGTTAAAGAACTGTCTAATATAATGAAATATTTTCCATTTTAGATATAAATAGCCCTGAAGAGTACTACCTAGTCAAAGGTACGAAACGCGTTGGCAAATTAAGGACTGCATTTATTTAAATTAATTTCTTTGGCACAAGTCAAAAAAGAAAGTTTTTTATTCATATAACTCTCGACAACACAAAAAAAAAATTGATTGCTGAGAAGCAAACGTGAGATACCAGCAGATTGTATTTATCTTTGTTTCTCATCATAGATAGGACAGTCTGTTTTTCAATAGTTTTTAATGATTATACTTTTTCAGGCATCAAATTAATTGAATTATTTTATTCTAATTTGATCCATATTATCTACACGTATTTAAACAATTAATGTCGAGAATAATTTATAACAATAATGAAAGTAATCAAATACAACCAATATCATCTTTAATACCAAATAAGCCACGATATCCGAATATTGGTTATAGTCATAGAAATAATAATAAATATAATAATCAATATAGAAATTATAATATCAATCCAAATAATATTTATAATAGTAAATTTTATCGTCGAAATTATATTAATCAAAATTTTCAACAAAATTATAGAAATGTGAATAGAAGAAATACAAATGATTATCACGTCAATTCATATTCATATGAAAATAATCGACGTGGAAGCATGATTAGTTCAGTACCGGAACAAAGAAAATCTGGTAAAAATCAAAGAATGAAACGGTCGATATCAAGACAACGACAAGGACGTACAAGTAAACCTGGACAATTACAATTAAATGATTATATGCCACCACAATTACGTGTTACAACATCAATAGGAAATATTCCAAATCTTCCATTAGATTTTACTTTAACAAATTTAGATACAACAATGAATGCAAGATCTAATCTACCAGGAAATGTTTTAACACAACGACCAAATTATACAACACAAAGAATAACAACAAATGATACAACTCAACCATTTGTTGTTTCCAATGATTTAAATGAAAATAATAATGAACAACAGTTACAACACAATAATAATCAACAGTTAAAACATAATTATAATCAACCAGAACGTCCAACAATTGCGACGACTACGACAACGACATCTTATAGACGTCGACAACGTCGGATTCGTCAACGGCAACAAAGACAAAATTATCATGATATAAATAATGAAAATCATAATAGATTTAATATATTAGAAAAAATAGATACATCTACAGATACTGAATCAGATTATGAAAATCAAGCAGTTGATGATGTTCTTTCTATAGTAGATAATGATAGTAATTATAACAATGAAAACCAATCAAGACAACAGAATAAGTGGAATCAAATTAATAATAGAAATAATGATAATAAAAATAATGATAATTTTAAAAAAATAAAACAAAAAATTTATCTTGAACCTAATCGAATAATGCGATATATGCAAGATAATGTAGCAGTTATTATGGGTAGTCGTGGTAATCAAGCATATGTATTAGCTGCAACTCCACTCTATGATGAATGGATACGAAACAATTATGAATTACAAGTTTGGCAAACATACCAGAGAATGGGTATACAAGATAAGCATTGGGCAAAAGAAGTTGTTACACGTACAAAAAAACGTGATAACATAATAAATAGTCGATTTATTCAGAAAAAGATTAATCAATTAACAAATAATATTGCTCAAACCAATGCTCAAATTACAAATCTACAAATACAATTAAATACATATTGGACTCAAACAACAGCTGGTACAATGAATACAACAATGACATCAAATGCACCATTAACAACAGCACCAGGAACAAATACAAATCGAATTCGTGATGCAGTTGATCGACTAGAAAAAAACATTGTACAATATATTCAACATTGTACACAGCATGTTAAAAGTATGTCCGAAAACAAAATACGATTAGCACGAATAGAAATTGATGAATATAAAGCATTAGAAGATTTTAAAGAAATAGCCAACCCAAACCAATGGAATATTCATTTAATGTTAAAATCAAAAATGAAACAATGGAGTACAAAAAATAAAAATTATATTACAGCTGCAAAACGTATTGAATATGATCTACCCCCAAAATTTATTTCAAGTGCTAGTTGTACATTTAAAATTGATGAATCAATTGTCAGTAAAGAAGAAGCTCAAATCTTATATGATCAAATGCGTCAATTAACGAAAGATTATCGTATGCAAGCTATGTCTATATATCTACGAGCAATGACTCGTGAAAAAGAAATTTTAAAAAATGAAATTGATAATATTATAAAAGGTTTCATACAAGAAAATGCTGAAGATTTTGATATTGAACTAAACTCAAGTTACATAGCATTTAAATATTATAATGAATTACGTGAGAAACGTTTAAATCTTGAAGCTCAAAAAGCAGTTTATTTTTTAGAAGAGCAGCGAGTCGAGGGCGATCAAATCGAAGAAGAAGAAACAACGGTTGCCCCGACTCTTACTCGTTCGTTGGGCGAGGATTGCTTGCTCCAAATATAATTAATGAAGCACAAATTAAGTTAACCGAGGAAGAAAATGAATTATTAAAATTAGGCCCTCGGTTTATTTATAATGATCCAAAAACGGCTTCCCGACGACGTATAACTGAGCTGGCTACATTAAAGCGCAAAATTGAAGCACGATTCTTCGAACAAAAAGTTAGCCCCGGTAAACTAGTTGAAAAATTTATAGCCGAATTGGATATTATATTAAAAAACTTACATAATACATCTACAAATAAATTAAATCATAAAATTAAACAACAAAATAATCAAACAATTACATGTGATAATCTATTAGAATCAATTCAATTAAATCAAAAT